ACAGTTTGGGCGATAGTGATACGATTACAAATTATATGAAACAATTACAACCCCCCTCCCCCATGGACCCCTCTGTAAAAAAAAAATATTGTCATAAAACCACTGCTACTTATTTAAATCTATTTCTGAATCAGTATACATGTGTAATATATATATATATATATATATATATATATATATATATATATATATATATATATATATATATATGTATGTATGCTTAGAACAGTAATCTAAAAACTGACGCTATGTTCACTCTGAATTGGTTATCTCCCCCCCCCCCCCACACCTCACCACCACAATTGTGTAGAGCGACATTAATGTCACACCTAGGTATACACTGGGTTGGATAATTGACCTAAAGTGACCGGACAGTAAAAAGGTGTGTGAGCAATACAGTGATCTAACCCATACCTATCACTGTTAAAAAATGATCTTTAAGGAACACAAAGAAGCAGTAGTTAAAGAAAAAATATATGAACCGAACTAAAAGACCGGTGTTTAGTTAAATGTAGGCTATTATTTCGAATGTTGTCCAATTATAACGAAAAGCGTGCTTTTATACCAACTCTGATTTCAAAATTATGCTGTAATACTTTAGCATTTATGATGACGATATATTTAATTCTGATTACAGACAAAAATATTTTGTTAACACAAAAAGTGTTAAACAAATTTATTATATTATAAAGTAATTATTTATTTGTTTTGACATTTAAAATTAAATGTGTAGATATATACATATTTATATTCAGAGAGTAATTATTTCCCCTATTTCACTTGTCTGAAATAATTTCCCAGGAATTATTATGTAAGAATTATTTTTACAAGAATTACAAAACAGATTGTGTTTCGTTCATTGTTTTTCGTTGTAGTGTGTGTATATTTTTTTTTTGTTTAGATTGATGCAATTTTTGTTTTGTTGGCCTACATTGTGTGTTCTTTCTTATTACTTCAGAATGCTACTTTCAATTTATTTTACATCATAGCGAAGTAATGACATACAGCTAGTATTTATATATACATACATATATATATAAATATATATATATATATATATATAAATATATATATATATATATATATATATATATATATATATATATATATATATATATATATATATATATATATATATATATATATATATATATATATATATATATATATATATATATATATATGTTACGGTCAAAGCCCGAAGTCCGCCAATGCAAATATATATATATATATATATATATATATATATATATATATATATATATATATATATATATATATATATATATATATATATATATATATATATATATATATATATATATATATATATATATATATATATATATAACGTGTTGAAAATTCGGCGCCTTTTTTTGCTCTTTTCGCTCCCCCTACAACAAAAACCTGGATACGCCTCTGAATACCGGAGGGTGGGGGAGGGGGAGGTGTGTGTGTGTGGGGGGGTACCACATTCTTAAACATCAAGAGGAAAAACATGTTGAACGAATATCTGAGCCACAAACGTAACCACCATAAGCTTAAGTTTTTGAGACACGATCTTATTACATACGCAAGACTAGAGTGGTGCTATCAAATTATCGGTATTTGTTACATTACCGGATATAGATTTCACATGTTTACATTTTTATTAAAAAATGGCATCTCAAAGTATACACGGAGAAGAAAAGCTTGAAAAATTTGTGAAAGATTAGTCGCACATGAAATCCCTCACACAATTTAGCAATCTTTAAGAGAAAAGTTTTTTTTTTCTTCTCATTTTCAGTACATTTAATTATTGTAAACGTTTTTAAGCACGTTTAATTTTCTAATTTTTAGTATAGGCTAAGCTATGTATATATATATATATATATATATATATATATATATATATATATATATATATATATATATATATATATATATATATATATATATATATATATATATATATATATATATATATATATATATATATATATGACATTATGACATTATGACAGTATGACAGTATGACATTATTTTTGAAGATAAAATATAAAAAAAATATAAATATATTAATGATTGTATGATTGATTTTAAGATTACAAACCAAAATCTCTAATGATCTTTAAAGATACAGGTTATATAATCTTTTACGATCGTGAGATATAGATCCCAAAAATCTCTTATAATCTTTAGAGATATAAACACATCATCAGCTGTTATATTCGTTAGCAGCCTACGATCATAAAAATTAATCTTTTGTTACCCATTAGTTTCGCTACTTAGGTGAGGCGTGCTGCATAGGTCGTTTGGCAATGATTCTGGGTGAGTTCAGTAGGTGAACAGATACAATAGTCCTTCTTTTGGTGCTATGTTCGTGTGTGGTTCAAGGGCACGCACACACATAATCAACGCACACTATCACACACCTACCACACACACACACACACACACACACACACACACATAATCATGCACACTATCATACACCTATCACATACACACACAAAGACACACACGCATAAACTCTACATTTAGTCTATAGCCATTGTTTCATAAAGAAGCGGGACAGGGTGATGGTTGTTGGGAGAGGGCCATGAACCACATTAATTAGCAGTCTGTTTTTTTTTAATATTCACTACCAGAAGTCTTAATTAACCAGTTTTTAAAGATTTTTATTAAAAAGACCCTTTTTGATGGAATGACACAATATTGGTGCGAATCGATCGGTTATTACTTAGTTCTTATGTCATTAATTAAACGCGCCTTCTAAATAAAATCTTTAAAAAGTGGCTAATTAATTATCCACGTAGTGAATAACCCGGTGACGTCAGTTGTAGAAGAGAGGGTCTAGTGTTTCTTCCAGGCATCTCTTCTCCCGAAGAGTCTACCGCTTTCCCCCCCCCCCCCCCCCCCCATCCACCCCGAACGAAATGTAATTTATATAGAGAATATATACTATTAACAGTGTCCGCCCCGCCCCCCCCCCTTCGTTTTTCATAACGAGACAAGCTTAATGTAGACAGGTCTCTGTCGTATTGAAGTGGAGGGTTGTGGTCTGGGGTGGTGGTGGGAAGTGGGGGTTGAGAGAGAGAGGAAGCCAGTATGTTTTTAGGGGAGAGTATCCAGAAAACAAAACACCTACATTTACAATAATCGCGTTTACCTCCCGTAACTGAACAGTGCTCTGTACATGTCATGTGAATTTTTATTTTTATAATTGCGAAATAATTTTTATTTAAAATCCATCCAATCTTTAAAAACCTGCCCAGAGCATTTAAATATTAAAATTCTCAATAAAACATTAATTACAAACGAAGCTTATAGATTAGATATCTATACGCTTCGTACGTAATTGTTTTTATTTTTAATCCAGGGGATACAACCGAATTAAACACTTCGAGAAAAGTTCGACTACTCGCCATAAAATCTGCTTCGTTGTTTTTAGTCATGAAAATTAAAATAAAACATTGCAATCAAAAAAAAAAGGAGAAGGAGGTGTGGGAAGCAGGTATTTATTGGTGATGCAAATGACACATACTTACAATCTACGCTCTTCACACACATACCTCCAGAAGATTCATAATATTATTTTCAAAACTGTAACGATTTCAGTCCCCGCTCCTGTATATATATAATGATAGGTCTTGAGATTTGTATTCATTTTCCTCGTTTTGTGCTACTCGCACTCTTCCTGGCTTATGAAAAAGCAAGTATCTGTAAATTACAGTAAATCAGGATTTACCGTTCCACTGCTAATTCAAACTGAGAAATGGTAGGTTTTTCGAAGTGTATAAAAGATAAGTTGTAAAAGTAAAGTTCATTTTTTAACCTGATGGCCAATAAGCAAGTGAAGTAGAGTTCACCTGTTTCTGTGACCTCGGCATATGAAGGGATTGATTGGTGAGTACTATGTCCAGCCGCCTTTACTTTCCCTTAAAGTGACTTAGGTACCCATCAGAGCTGGGTGTGATCTACGGACTTGAACCCTGATTAGAGCTTGAGACATTGATGAAATTTCATCAACGGTACTCAAGTTATCGTGTTCACACACACACACATACACACACATACACACAGACATACGGACAAGATTGCAAAACTATTTTTCCGACTCAGGGGATTTTGCAAAATTATTTTTTTTCATGTCAGTTTTGGTAAGAAGGTAAATTTATTTAATAATTCGTAAACAAAGCTCTAAAAATAATACGATTATAATTATTTACTTATTTTCTCTACGTTTTAATTGAAAAAAAAAACAACAACAAATTTCAAATATTAATAAGAAGTAAAAAAAATGCTAAAGAAAAAACAACTTGTTTCTAATGCAGGTCGTTACATTTCGTTATATTCGTCACAATTCAACATTTTGATACAAAATCGTAACTAAAAATATTTACATTTTCTACTTCAGGAAAGAATTCGCAAACAGTTTCAGCAGCCTCAATGGATACCCCATATATACATAATGATCAAACGGAGCACCATACTATTGTCCAAGTGGAGCCGAGTACGAGCGAGGTCAACAGCTTTGCTATGGAGAACCAACAAAAAAACACCACACGGAACCCAATGAGAGAAGCCACATCTATAGCACCCATGTTGGTAAGTTCCGAGAAGACATTCCTAGACTTTACTGACATCAACTAGTAAGCATCGAAGATCCAAATGTGCTTTGAGATGTTTAGGAAATGGACTTAAATTGATTTTCTAATGTTTTAAGTGCTGACTTGCATTTTACATCTTTGTTGTTTAAATTCTTTTCTTAGAAGAGTAAATAGATGATCTGTAGGCATATAAGATTTACCAAAATCAGATATCGTTGAATCAATAGTGGCAAGGTAGGCGATTAAAGGATGTTTAAAATTAGCAAAGTAGCTAATCATTAAAGCTTGAATATGTCTGCATATAAACAATCAATAAAATAATCAATCAATCAAAACAATCAATCAATTAGTCCTTAGAATGACACGACTGCAATGTTCGTTGTGCTTGCATATGATGACTGACACAGATAGCTGTTAACAAGAATGGAACTTATGACTGACACAGATAAATGTTAGCAAGAACAAGAATGGAACTTATGACGGACAGAGATAGATGTTAGCAAGAATGGAACTTATGACTGACACAGATAGATGTTAGCAAGAATGGAACTTATGACTGACACAGATAGATGTTAGCAAGAATGGAACTTATGACTGACACAGATATATGTTAGCAAGAATGGAACTTATGACTGATGACACAGATAGATGTTAGCAAGAATGGAACTTATGACTGACACAGATGTTAGCAAGAATGGAACTTATGACTGACACAGATAGATGTTAGCAAGAATGGAACTTATGACTGATGACACAGATAGATGTTAGCAAGAATGGAACTTATGACTGATGACACAGATAGATGTTAGCAAGAATGGAACTTATGACTGACACAGATGTTAGCAAGAATGGAACTTATGACTGACACAGATAGATGTTAGCAAGAATGGAACTTATGACTGATGACACAGATAGATGTTAGCAAGAATGGAACTTATGACTGACACAGATAGATGTTAGCAAGAATGGAACTTATGACTGATGACACAGATAGATGTTAGCAAGAATGGAACTTATGACTGATGACACAGATAGATGTTAGCAAGAATGGAACTTATGACTGATGACACAGATAGATGTTAGCAAGAATGGAACTTATGACTGATGACACAGATAGATGTTTGCAAGAATGGAACTTATGACTGATGACACAGATAGATGTTAGCAAGAATGGAACTTATGACTGACACAGATAGATGTTAGCAAGAATGGAACTTATGACTGACACAGATAGATGTTAGCAAGAATGGAAGTTATGACTGATGACACAGATAGATGCTAGCAAGAATGGAACTTATGACTGACACAGATAGATGCTAGCAAGAATGGAAATTATGACTGACACAGATAGATGTTAGCAAGAATGGAACTTATGACTGACACAGATAGATGTTAGCAAGAATGGAACTTATGACTGACACAGATAGATGTTAGCAAGAATGGAACTTATGACTGACACAGATAGATGTTAGCAAGAATGGAACTTATGACTGATGACACAGATAGATGTTAGCAAGAATGGAACTTATGACTGACACAGATAGATGTTAGCAAGAATGGAAGTTATGACTGACACAGATAGATGTTAGCAAGAATGGAACTTATGACTGACACAGATAGATGTTAGCAAGAATGGAACTTATGACTGACACAGATAGATGTTAGCAAGAATGGAACTTATGACTGACACAGATAGATGTTAGCAAGAATGGAACTTATGACTGACACAGATAGATGTTAGCAAGAATGGAACTTATGACTGATGACACAGATAGATATTAGCAAGAATGGAACTTATGACTGACACAGATAGATGTTAGCAAGAATGGAACTTATGACTGACACAGATAGATGTTAGCAACAATGGAACTTATGACTGACACAGATAGATGTTAGCAAGAATGGAACTTATGACTGACACAGATAGATGTTAGCAAGAATGGAACTTATGACTGACACAGATAGATGTTAGCAAGAATGGAACTTATGACTGACACAGATAGATGTTAGCAAGAATGGAACTTATGACTGACACAGATAGATGTTAGCAAGAATGGAACTTATGACTGACACAGATAGATGTTAGCAAGAATGGAACTTATGACTGATGACACAGATAGATGTTAGCAAGAATGGAACTTATGACTGATGACACAGATAGATGTTAGCAAGAATGGAACTTATGACTGACACAGATAGATGTTAGCAAGAATGGAACTTATGACTGATGACACAGATAGATGTTAGCAAGAATGGAACTTATGACTGACACAGATAGATGTTAGCAAGAATGGAAGTTATGACTGACACAGATAGATGTTAGCAAGAATGGAACTTATGACTGACACAGATAGATGTTAGCAAGAATGGAACTTATGACTGACACAGATAGATGTTAGCAAGAATGGAACTTATGACTGACACAGATAGATGTTAGCAAGAATGGAACTTATGACTGACACAGATAGATGTTAGCAAGAATGGAACTTATGACTGATGACACAGATAGATGTTAGCAAGAATGGAACTTATGACTGATGACACAGATAGATGTTAGCAAGAATGGAACTTATTGCTCCTGTTGGTGTTTGGAGCACGACTGATGATTCCCAGCTCACATTAACACAAAATTACAGGGACATTACTACAACAATGTTACTTGACATGACTACAATGGTTAGCTGCCCTTTACACAGCGATACATGATTCTGACTAGCAAGCAGTTACCTTTATTTCTACAGGTAATACGCACTGAGTCTAGTGAAATCTTACCCAAGCCGTTTACCAAGTTCTCCCAGCTTATCGTCTGCTCCTACCTGAGCATGCTCTGCTGCTGCATCTGCGGGGCCATGGCCGTCAAGAGGGCGGTGCACGCGAAGATCAGACGGAACCAAGGGGTTTACGTGGTAGCCAAGAAGAAGGCAAGACAGGCCGGGGGCTGGATATTGGCTGCGGTGTTGTTTGGTCTTGTGATATACAGTATCATAGCTGTGGTTGTGTCATTGAAGTTCTCAAAGAAGTGACCATAGAATAGAGAGTTGGTTAGCTTTGTTGTACCAGTATTATATGAACTGGCTTTGTTGTACAAATGTTGTATAAAACACTAGCATTGTTAAACAAATGTTGTATAAAACATGAGCATTGTTGTACAAATGTTGTATGAACCACTGGCAATTATGTACAAATGTTGTAAAAAAATTCGGCTTTGTTGCACAAATATTGTATATAGAACTTCCAAAAGTTTGGGTTACCTGAGTTTGGATCCCAGAATTAGCCAGTAAGATATCCCAGAGTCCAACCATCTATCTGAATCTCACTAGAAAAGGTGACGTCCCTGAGTCCACCATCTGAATCTCATCAGAAAAGGTGACGTCCCTCAGTCCACCATCTGAATCTCATCAGAAAAGGTGACGTCCCTCAGTCCACCATCCGAATCTCATCAGAAAAGGTGACGTCACTAAGTCCACCATCTGAATCTCATCAGAAAAGGTGACGTCCCTCAGTCCACCATCCGAATCTCATCAGAAAAGGTGACGTCACTAAGTCCACCATCTGAATCTCATCAGAAAAGGTGACGTCCCTCAGTCCACCACCTGAACCTCATCAGAAAAGGTGACGTTAATAAGTCCACCATCTGAATCTCATTAGAAAAGGTCACGTCCCTGAGTCAAAACCTTCGTCTTCCATAAAGAGACACGCCTTATGTAGACAGGTCTCTGGCGTATTGAATGGACGGTTGTGGTCTGGGGTGGTGGGAAGTGGGGTTGCGAGAGAGGAAGCCTAACCCAACCGATGGGAAAGTATACAGGGAACAACAAAGTTACATTTATAATAATCGCGTTTACCTCCCCTAACTGAACAGTGCTCTGTATATGGTCTGTGAATTTTTATTTTTATAATAGCGAAATTTTTCTTATTAAAAAACCCATCCAATTTTTAAAAATCTGCCTACAGCATTTAAATATTAAAATTGTCAATAAAACTTTAATTACAAACGAAGCTTATAGATCAGATATCTATACGCTTCGTACGTAATTGTTTTTATTTTTAATCCAGGGGATACAACCGAATTAAACATTTCGAGAAAAGTTCGACTACTGGGTCCATAAAATATGCTTTGTTTTTAGTAATGAAAATTGAAATAAAACATTGCAACCGAAAAAGAAAGGGAGAAGAGGGGGAGGGTGGAAGGAGGCGGTTGTTGGTGATGCAAGGGACTTATAATCACCGCTCTACATAAGCTTACCTCAAGAAGATTTATAATATTATTTTCATAACTGTAACTATCTCCGCTCCTGTATATACAATGATAGGTCTTAGGTCTATGTATTAACTTCCCTTTTCCATCCGTGTCCTTAACATTCGCATTCTTCCTGGCTTTTGAAAAAGCAAGTTTTTGTAAATCAGGAATCCCATGTTTCATTGAGTTATGTTAACTCCAACCGACAAATGGTAGAAATGGTTTACAAGATTAGCTGTAAAAGTAAAGTTCTTTTTTGAACCGGATGGTCCATAAGCAAGTGAAGTAGAGTTCACCTGTTTCTGTGACCTCGGCATATGAAGGGATTGATTGGTCAGCACTATGCTCAGCCGCATTTACTTTCCCTAAAGTGACTTAGGTACCCATCAGAGCTGGGTGGGCTCACGGAAGTCCTACGGACTTGAACCCGTATTCGAACTAGAGACTTTCGGGTTAGCTGTGTTATGCTCTACCATTCGACCACGCCTTAGATTAGCGGTACTGCTGGTTATAATAGTGTAAATGTGTCTCTAGATTAGCGGTACTGCTGGTTATAATAGTGTAAATGTGTCTCTAGATTAGCGGTACTGCTGGTTATAATTGTGTAAATGTGTCTCTAGATTAGCGGTACTGCTGGTTATAATTGTGTAAATGTGTCTCTAGATTATCGGTACTGCTGGTTATAATAGTGTAAATGTGTCTCTAGATTAGCGGTACTGCTGGTTATAATTGTGTAAATGTGTCTCTAGATTAGCGGTACTGCTGGTTATAATAGTGTAAATGTGTCTCTAGATTAGCGGTACTGCTGGTTATAATTGTGTAAATGTGTCTCTAGATTAGCGGTACTGCTGGTTATAATTGTGTAAATGTGTCTCTAGATTAGCGGTACTGCTGGTTATAATTGTGTAAATGTGTCTCTAGATTAGCGGTACTGCTGGTTATAATTGTGTAAATGTATCTCTCTGAGCGTTGAGACTGAGCGAGATTTGAACGAATCCCGTCACTCGTGTGACAAGTGTACTCACACTTTCGTCTTTACAAACGTCACCAGGAGTCACCAGACGTGACACTACGCCACTACTCTACTTCTGCTTCTCGTCTAGACAGCAGTAATGACGACGTCACATTTAAAAAAAATTCCATATCAGCCTGACCCGTATGTAAGTAAACCGGATGTTTACCACCATAACGGCCTTCCGCTGTTACATTGTAAGTGCGTAATGCCACAAGCCCCGCCCACTGAGTTATAATTAGAACAGACACCATCTGGACTTCCGCTAATTTAGCGATTTAAAAATTTGTTGTCGATTCGTACAGTGACTTTATTTTTTCCCTTGAATATAGGGGTGCTGCTTGATGTAAGTTGGTTTACATTAACACTTCACGAACGGAAAGAGAGGGTGTTTAATTAACATTTGATGACTAGCTTAATGCATTTTTGTTTTAGTGATAAACACAGTTCGGGTTTTAAAAAAAATCTAAGCGCGAATTGGAAGAATTGATTAGATGGACGGCTATAGCGCCGGTACAGGAGGAAATTATGACATTCCTGATACGAATGACAGACAACGCCCTAACACGAATGACAGCCAACAGCATAACACGAATGACAGCCAACAGCCTAACACGAATGACAGCCAACAGCCTAACACGAATGACAGCCAACAGCCTAACACGAATGACAACCAACAGCATGATACGAATGACAACCAACAGCATGATACGAATGACAGTCCACATCATGACACAGAAAACATTCAGAAGGTTAACCTAGAGGTAAAGTCTCGTACAGCGAGCAGCAGCACGTCACCTATCAGCACACTGTCAGATCCTATGCAGGACACAATCCCAGAGACTGTGTACGACTCATCAACTTGCCTCGGATTATTGACCGATCCACACAAATATCTGGTTAGGAAAACAAACTCATGGCCAGATAAAGATTCGGAGGACATGGCCAAATTACGAGAAGACGAGCAGATGTTGAGCCATGCTGAGTCTGTGTGTCTCGGGATTCCAGACAACCCCCACACTCTAAAGGAAGGAAGCACAACAACAGCACCAGATTCGGTGGGTTATTTAGCACTTCCGGTTCATTAGGGCTTGTAAGTAGGTCAACAACTTCTCGTTATCAGCTAGTATTTTTCCAACCAAATGTAAATAATTTTATTCAATAGGTAAAATAAAACAACAGAAATGTTACTTCCGCTATTGTTCAGTTATTTAAAAATCGTAAACAATGATAAGGGCTAGCTTAAAGAAAAATATAGCCCACGTTTAACTGCGATTTAAAAAAAAGAAGCAAACAGTTTGTTATTAATTATTCGAATCCGTACCAAGTTGTGCAAAAACATAGTTATAAACATTAATACAACATTATTAATAGCCTAGGCCTACCGGTACTTAATTTGATTCTATTATTATTCCAAAATTGTGTAATTGTTGTACTTTGGGTACTCATGCCGTTTTGAAATCTTGAAGCGAGGCATAAAAACAATAAGCCGCCATGCTTTTTTTTTTTTTATCGATAGGAATCATGTTCACAACAATCTATTTCTAAAATTTATATCTCGCCATGGTTTACGAGATATCGAATTTTAAATGAGAGAGACCGAGACTTACAAGCCCTATTGGTTGATCAAATGTTTATTCTCTGGAATATAATTTTATTGAATGGGTTATTAGAAACGAACATTAAAAACAACAAGAAAATAACGAAAATATATAGACTTAAGATCTCTAAACCCTTAAAATTATAAAGTTTTATAAACTTATAATATTAAAGTATTTTTTTTAATAGGAGAGGTTGTCCAGTGTAACCACCAATTTGACCAGCAGTCCCTTCACCAGTGCAGCAGACGTACTAAAACCGTTCACTTCCATCAATCAGCTCGTCTGCTGTTCTTTCCTATCCATCTTCTGCTGCTGCTACTTTGGCGCCGTCGCTTTTAGAAATGCCAGGGAGGCGAAACTTAGTTCCAGACATGGATTTCCTGAACTTGCCAGGAAGGAGATTAGAGTTGCCAGCAACAACCTAGCCCTGGCCATATTTGTCGGTGGCTGTGCTGCATTTGTTGTTTGTTTGGTCGTTCTTATGATGTTAGGGTTCGATGTACAGTTATATTAATATTTCTTTTTATTGCTAGAAGTAAATATTAATTATGATATATATATATATATATATATATATATATATATATATATATATATATATATATATATATATATATATATATATATATGTATATATACGGCATTTGTTTAAGAAAGTTTCTGCTTGTGATGTTCCTTGGATATTCACTGAAAATTATCAATTTTTTTAAAAAATTGGCATATATTGTTATTTTATTAGGTCAAATTTAATTAAATTCTGTTGAATAAATGAAATATGTGAATGTATAATAGATAAGATTTGATTAATACCCGTTTCAATGTGCAATACTTGACATGAAAGACAACAATTACACACGTCGCCAATCACATGACGCGCCAACGAAAAAAATTGGCAAATTACACATTTGTGATTTCGTGACAAGTCTATTTTTGACGAATTTTTTCCACTATCTTAGCTCATCTCACAAAAAGGCATGAAATAATTTTTTAAAAAAATGACCCCCAATACCTAACATAAATATGTCAACGACTATTCATTTTTTTCCTGAACATGTCGAATAAAAAAAAATAGCAGTCGAGAAGATAGAATATTTTAAAGACATTTTAAAAGTGGTGTAACGAAAACTGCTCTATCAGGCATGAATATTCCGTGTACTTAACAGTTTTATGACTTATGACGACAACAGCGCAGTCTCAGGAATGCCTACTCCTTTGTTTTTATTATTAACGTTCAAGTCACACAACTCAAGTGTCATCAAGCTAAATATAGATCCGGATATTCCCGCACCCTTTACCTGCCTACTTAACTAGAGAGGAATCCTTTTCCCGGAACAGTTGATGACGTAATGCAAGCAGCTCCCAATCCCACAGCTGTATACAAGCATAAAAGCAGACACTACAGGCAGGTAGGCATGCACACTTTATCAGCCGTTGAACGTGTATCCTAGTTTCAGCTTGTAAAAACGTTAACATTTATTAAAAAAAAAAAACAACAGCGGAGGCAAATGCAGTAATTCAAAAGAGAAAATAACGCCACTTACTCAAGAGAGATAACTAACGCAATTCTTTTTCATTTCAGTTTTGGTAAGAAAGTAAACAAAGCTTTAAAAATAATAAAATAATTTTTTTTAAACTTATTTTCTATACGATATAATTTTTAAAAAAAATTCATTCAAAATGTGGGAACTAATATTAAATAGAAGTAAAAAAAAAAAGAAATAAAAACTTGTTTCATTTCGTTACATTTCGTTATACTCGTCACACTTCAATATTTTGATACAAAATCGCAACTAAAAATATTTTCTACTTCAGGAAAGAATTCGCAAACAGTTTCAGCAGCCTCAATGAATACCCCAGCTTTGGGCGGCCACTCTGAAGACAACATGTGTGTAAATATCTCTTACGTCTGTCCCGCGTCAAATGATGACAAACATTCGAAAAATATACATTATGATCAAACGGAGCACCATACAATTATCCGAGTGGAGCCGAGTACGAACGAGGTCAACAGTTTTGCTATGGAGAACCACCAGAAAAACACCACACGGAACCCAATGAAAGAAGCCACATCTATAGCACCCGTGTTGGTAAGTTCCGAGAAGACATTCCTAGACTTTACTTGACATCAACTAGTAAGAATCGAAGATCCAAATGTGCTTTGAGATGTTTAGGAAATGGACTTAAATTATTTTTTCTGATGTTTTAAGCGCTGACTTGCATTTTACATCTCTGTTTTCTGATACATTTCTTTTTAGAAGAGAATGAAATAGATCTGTAGGCCTATAAGGTCACTAGATCACACAATCAATCAATCAATCAAACAATCAATCAAACTATCCTGATGTTGTATGGAGCACGACTGAGGATTCCAAGCTCACATTAACACTGTTTACAGTCTACAAAATTACAGGGACATCACTACAACAATGTTACTTGACATGACTACCATGGTTAGCTGCCCTTTACACTGCGATATATGACACTGACTAGCAAACATTTACCTTTATTTCTACAGATAAGACGCACTGAGTCTAATGAAATCTTACCCAAGCCGTTTACCAAGTTCTCCCAGCTTATCGTCTGCTCCTACTTGAGCATGCTCTGCTGCTGCATCTGCGGGGCCATGGCCGTCAAGAGGGCGGTGCACGCGAAGATCAGACGGAACCAAGGGGTTTACGTGGTAGCCCAGAAGAAGGCAAGACAGGCCGGGGGCTGGATATTGGCTGCGGTGTTGTTTGGTCTGTCGATTGGCATCATCATAGCTGTGGTGGTGTCATTGAAGGTCTCATAGAACGGACCATAGAATAGAGAGTGGGTTAGCTTTGTTGTTCAAATGTTGTATAAACCACTGGCATTGTTGTACAAATGTTGTATGACCCACAGGCATTGTTGTACAAATGTTGTATGACCCACTGGTATTGTTGTACAAATGTTGTATGACCCACTGGTATTGTTGTACAAATGTTGTATGAACCACTGGCATTGTTATACAAGTATTTCATAAACACGGGCATTGTTGTGCGAATTTTGTACATAGAACTTGCATCTGCATGGAATGGCATGGTTGCTAGTAGACCAAACGGCCTCCTAAAGTTTGGGTTGTCTGAGTTCGAATCCTTGGATTGAGACCGTAAGACGTCCCTGAGTCCATCAGAGAAGAAGACGCCCCTGAGTCCACCCAGCTATCTGAATCTCATCAGAAAATGTGACGTCCCTGAGTCCACCATCTGAATCTCATCAGAAAAGGTGACGTCACTAAGTCCACCCAGCTATCTGAATCTCATCAGAAAAGGTGGCTGGGCATAGTTCTGACCACACTATCTCTCCAAATGCCAAGGTTGCAGAAACTGGTGTACTCTACTTCATCTACCCCATGGACCAGAACGTTCGAAAGGGTAACTGACACATCTAGGTTATGTTTGCAAAAAAGCAACCCCATTACCTGTAGTTTAAGCGTCTCAATCGATGAACTCATACACACTCTAGAAGAGACTATTGATACAATGTTGCTATATAAGGGTTTATTTTAACCCTTTAAAGAACGACTTATGTCAAGCTCAGAATCAGTGACTAATTTTAAGCTCTGATGATCTTCGTTTGATCGCTGACTTCTTAGACCGTGAACTTTTCACGGTAACTACAATTAGCATAGGGAGTTATTCTTTGAACTTCATAATGACAAATATATGCGCAGACACTTTAAAACAAATTATCGTTTACATTTGTAGTGCTTAATTAGAGAATAAATATTTCATATTGTGTAATTATAAAGCGCGTTCTGTATATTTTTTTCTCGTAAATTAAAAGAAATAACACATTGCTTGTTTTTTTTAAATAATATTTTACTACATGTAACAAAACATATACAAATTAAAATTGTAAGAAAAGTTAACAATGCAAAAAAAATATTGATTAAACTGTGGTTACAAGGTAATTATGTAATCTTCTGAAGAAATGAAAGTCAGACGGCTTTAAAACTGTCCTTCAGTAAAGTTGGTGGGCGGCTCTAAATTCAGCCCTCAGTAAAGTTGGTGGGCGGCTGAAAATTTAGACCTTAGTAAAGTTGGTGGGCGGCTCTAAATTTAGCCCTCAGTAAAGTTGGTGGGCGGCTGAAAATTTAGCCCTCAGTAAAGTTGGTGGGCGGCTGAAAATTTAGACCTTAGTAAAGTTGGTGGGCGGCTCTAAATTTAGCCCTCAGTAAAGTTCGTGGGCAGGCTCTGAATTTAGAACTTAGCGAGGGTAACTTAACCAGAGACAGCGAAATTTTCTAAATATTCTATTCGTGCAACACCTCATGACTGCTAAATGCAACTTGGGTCCATGTAAAGCGACATTGGTCACATTAGGCCAGCAAGATTAAAAGCGAAAATTACAGACCAGTTTCTTACACGCCCAAGTTTAACACTAATTGAAAAAAAACAAGCTCGAAACAGTTAAAAAAAAATCTCTATACGAAGTAGTCAGCACAATGAAGGATATTTTATACAATCTTATACATGTTCGGTCGATCCTTGTGGTCCTGAAGCTTCAACATTAGTTTACTTAGGTGGATTATACAATCTTTGACTGCGCTTCTATTTGTCATTAGCTGAAAGAGACGTCTTTCTTACTTGTATTATCCTTGCTTTTGCCTACTTTTTTATCTTTCTTTTTATCTTTTTTCCTTTTTGGGTGATTTTGCTGCGTCACCAGAAGTATTTAATTTTTCCTTTTTATCTTTTTTATCTTTCTTTTTATCTTTTTTATCCTTTTTGGGTGATTTTGCTTCGTCACCAGAAGTATCTAATTTTTCCTTTTTATCTTTTTTATCTTTCTTTTTATCTTTTTTATCGTTTTTGGGTGATTTTGCTTCGTCACCAGAAGTATCTAAGTTTTCTTTTTTATCCTTTTTATCTTTCTTTTTATCTTTTTTATCCTTTTTGGGTGATTTTGCTTCGTCACCAGAAGTATCTAATTTTTCCTTTTTATCTTTTTTATCTTTCTTTTTATCTTTTTTATCCTTTTTGGGTGATTTTGCTTCGTCACCAGAAGTATCTGATTTTTCCTTTTTATCTTTTTTATCTTTCTTTATTTCTTTTTTATCCTTTTTTGGTGATTTTGCTTCGTCCCCAGAAGTATCTAATTTTTCCTTTCTATCTTTTTTATCTATCTTTTTATCTTTTTTATCCTTTTTGGGTGATTTTGCTTCGTCACCAGAAGTATCTGATTTTTCCTTTTTATCTTTTTTATCTTTCTTTATTTCTTTTTTATCCTTTTTTGGTGATTTTGCTTCGTCACCAGAAGTATCTGATTTTTCCTTTTTATCTTTTTTATCTTTCTTTATTTCTTTTTTATCCTTTTTTGGTGATTTTGCTTCGTCACCAGAAGTATCTATTTTTTCCTTTTTATCTTTCTTATCTTTTTTATCCTTTTTGGGTGATTTTGCTTCATTGCCGGAAGTATCTGATTTTTCTTTTATATCTTTTTTACCTTTCTTTTTATCTTTCTTATCTTTCTTTGGTGAAGTAGACTCATCGCCAGAAGTATCTGATTTTTCTTTTCTATCTTTCTTTTTATCTTTTTTATCCTTTTTGGGCGATTTCTTTTCATCGCCAGAAGTATCCGATTTTTCCTTTTTATCTTTCTTGTCTTTACTTTTTTTGTCTCTTTTTTTAGATTTCTTTGAGCGTTTTATCAGCTCTTCATCATCTTCATCTTCATCACCGTCAGCATCAGACTCCGATGTTTTGGAGTCGTTGCCTCGTTTGAAAAACGACGGCAGTTTAAAATTAAAAAACCTAGACTTCTCACCCTCTTCTGAACCTGATTCATCCGATGTTTCATCCTCGGACTTTTTGCCTCCCTTTTTCCCCTTCTTCCCTTGTTTGTCCCCCTTCTTCCCTTGTTTGTCCCCCTTCTTCCCTTGTTTGTCCCCCTTCTTCCCTTGTTTGTCCCCCTTCTGTCCCTTGCTTTCCTTGCCGTCCGCGCCCTGGCCACCAGACTTGCCCAGCTTCCACCATCTGCCACCCTTTGTGTCCTCTTTCTTTTTATCCTTCTTTTCCTCGTCGCTGTCGGATCCAGTTTTACTGTCCTCATCAGAAGTCTCCTTGTCATCTACGGAGAAAGAGAAGTGTCACGTTACGTGATGTGGTCTCTAGATGATAGCGTGACACGCCGTGATTCCCAGGTGACAGCGTGGCATTTTGTAATCACTAGATATCAGCGTGACAGTTTGTAATCACGAGATATCAGCGTGACAGTTTGTAATCACGAGATATCAGCGTGACAGTTGGTAATCACTAGATAACAGCGTGACAGTTTGTGATCACTAGATAACAGCGTGACAGTTTATGTTTGATGACATGAGAATGACATCTTGCTTTACTGGCAACACAAGCACCTTAAAAAATGACACAGGTTTGCCAAGTTACTTTCAGCTGTTAGTGTAGGCCAGGGGTCGGCAACCTGCGGCTCGCGAGCCGCATGCGGCTCTTTTGATATCAAGATGCGGCTCTCCAGCTCTTTAAACAAATACTAATAATCTTAATAAAAAATAAAATATTTGAAATAAAAAAAATGTTAGTGGCTCTTTAAAACCAGGGAAATTTTGAAAATTGTAACTTTTGGCTCTTCCGCTTCAAAAGGTTGCCGACCCCTGGTGTAGGCTAATAGCTGCAACACGAAGAGGCGCCACTACATAGCGAACTCTTGTTTCGTTGGCTTGAAAAATTATTTATTTTTCCGTAAGTAACCCTTCGAACCTTACAGTTATGGCTTAGATGAAGCAGTGTCCAACTGTTTCAGCGAATTCGATATATGACATTTGATAGTGTGGTCAGCATTATGCTTTAAGCTCTTCACTTTCCTTAATGCGAATCAGGTACCAATAAGAGCTGGGTGGACTTAGAGTTATGAAACAATACTACTAAATACTACTAAATTTCATTTTCGACTTTTTGTAAATTCGATATTTTGAGTTAGTAAATAATGAAACGAATATCATTAATTTGGAAAACTGATACAACATTTATGCGTGCATTTTTATGGCTTTTGATAAAGCATTAGAATTGACGAATATTTGGTGTCGGCAATCTTTATTCATAGCTGTTTAAACAAAGAGTGCTTTGACCACAGGTGCTTTGACCATAGGGGGTTTGACCATATGGTCAAACCCCCTATGGTCAAAGCCCCGCTGTGGTCAAAACCCCTATGGTCAAACCCCCTATGGTCATAGCACCTGTGGTCAAAGGTCCGCGCACCGTTTTATGAAACCTAATGTTTGGGTCTTAGAGATGCTATACCGATTGGAAACGCCTCTCATAGACTCCCTAACATCAGCTAACAAAAAAAAAAATCGAACAAGCTGATAAACATTGCGATAATTTATTGTAAAATTACTCGTTTCAAAATATACATAATTAGGTGGTGTCCATAAAGGTAACAAGAATAGGATAGAAATACTGAAATGTATGCAAAAGATCCAAAACAATAAATTATTAAAAAGTAAATAAAGGCAAGTCATGCCAATGCTATTATTCAGAATAGACTAAGGGTCTACTTTTTCCTTTTAGGAGCCTTTGCCTTCTTCGGTTTTTTTGGTTTCTTTGGCTTTTTCGGTTTTTTCGGCTTCTTCGGTTTTTTCGGCTTTTTCGGTTTCTTTTGTTTCTTCGGTTTCTTTTGTTTTTTCTGTTTTTTAGCCTTCTTTTCTTTTTTCTTTTCCTTTTTAGCCTTCTTTTTCTCAGACTTTTTCTTCTTCTTTTCCTCTTTCTTCTTTTTCTTCTCCTCTTTCTTGCCTTTCTTCTTTTCTTTCTTGTCCGCCTTTTTCTTCTTTTTCTCCTCCTTTTTCCCTTTCTTCTTCTCTTTCTTCTCTTCCTTTTTCTTCTTCTTTTCTTCCTTCTTCTTTTTCTTTTCATCCTTCTTTTCCTCTTTTTCCTTCTTCTTATCCTCTTTGGATTTCTTTTTATCCTTTTTACTCTTCTTGCCCCCGCCATCATCGCTGCCGTCATCTCCCCCTCCATCATCGCCACCACCCCCACCCCCACCCCCTCTCCCGCCGCCCCCACCACGGGATCGTTTCTCTTTCGGTTCACTGTCATCATCGCTATCGCTGTCGTCGCTATCATCGTCGTCTCCTTTTTTCTTTTTCTTCTTCTTCTTTTTGGATCCTTCGTCGTCGGAATCATCTTTGAAAAGAGAACATGATTTATAATCTCTAACAGCTGGCAAAAAAAATGTATTTTCATATTTGCTTTTTTGATTGGCTACACGTCGTAGAGAAATAAAACTATAGACGGCCGTAAAACAATAAGCTGTACTCTGCTGTACCGTATGTTATGATTATAGGAGCCGTACCGAATGTTATAAGTAGACGGTCGTACCAAATATTATAATCGGACGGTCGTACCGAATGTTATAAGTAGACGGTCGTACGAAATATTATAATCGGACGGCTGTACCAAATGTTATAAGTAGACGGTCGTACCGAATATTATAATCGGACGGCCGTACCGAATGTTATAAGTAGACGGTCGTACCAAATATTATAATCGGACGGTCGTACCGAATGTTATAAGTAGACGGTCGTACGAAATATTATAATCGGACGGCCGTACAGAACGTCATAATTTGCCACACACTAGCATATGAGCTCGCATGTTAAACAAGTAGAAACACATTTTATTGAATCAATTGTTGTCCACATAAGAGACAGTTGGCATGCGTGGCCTGTGGTATTTGGACCAGTTAATCTAAAGGACGTAAATCTTACTGATGGTGTGGCATTTCTTACACATCAAAAGATCATACTGAGCTAAAGTTAAACTCCAGGTAACACTAACACACTGAGCTTAGGTTAAGGTAACCGTAACACACTGAGCTTAGGTTACTGTAAGTTAAGGTAACCCTAACACACTGAGCCTAGAATGAAGTCCTAATCACGTGATAGGTCTAGGATAAGTGTCTGACAGATAGTAGCTTTCAACTACTTGACCTACCATCTTTCTTCCGCTTGAGCAGAGAGCGCAGGTCTGACCCACCCCCAAGGCCCTTGATGCAATAGGCGTCTGCTGGCGCCTCGGGGTCATTGAGTTCGTCTGCTGATAGGATAGACGTCTGCAGAAGTCGCATCACGACAATGTCTACAATCTGTGGAACACGCAACATCCTCATTAGGATAATTAAAATAATTAGGATATTTGGATGGGATACTATCCTCGTGCAAGACCCAAAAAATAACCCGATTTAAAGATAAGAATACATCGTTTGGATAACATCCAGATGCGGTGACTCTATAGGGGACGGAATGGTCGCTTGGAAAAGCTCATGGCTGTTAAGAAAATATCCCGAGTTCGGAACCCAGACAGATGAAGATCGGCAACTAAGTGCAGTAAACCAGCAAGCTATCTAGGAGAGAAAACTCTAAACAACTGCTGCCCTGCAGATTGTTCTTGGATGAACAAATGCTGTTGGAGCTAATCCAGAAACAAAAGTCGGATGAAGTCGGCGTCAACGTATTGGACGAAATACCCGTGACTATTACAATAAGAACGACTAATAAAAGATAACTTAATATATTTGTGATTTTGTACGTTGAATGAGATCTAATCAACCGACTAGATTCAGTAAGAGATATACTACCTAGCCAGATACAATCGATAAAGTGACTCAAAATCACTGTCAAAGTAGAGCAGTAGTATGATGTAATTTAAAAACCCCATGAAATATGTAGCTTTAACTAACGTAAGAACGTTTGTCATATGCTTATATACTCCATGGTTAGATAAATTTTATCACCCAACACCAACGGCATCCAACACTTTTAGTACACAGTGCCTATAACACCCTTTACCTAAAGCACATATAACACCCAGAACCTACGGCACCCAGCACTTTTGGCTTCCGTGCACCAGTTGCGCCCAAGGCCGATAGAACACAGCACATATGTCACACAGCACCTACGGCTTCAGCACATATGACAGCGAGCACCTAGGAGCACCCAACCCCGAGTACCTCCACCAGTCACACCTTTAGAACACACCACCTAAAGTACCCAGCACATATGACACCCTGCACCTATAGCACCCAACACCTTTAGAACACCCTACACCTATAGCACCGGCACCAAGACTCGCCTGGAGAATGAAGATGACGAACATGAGGGTGGCTGTCGGCGCCACCAGCGTGTTGCTGAAGTAGGCCATGATGACGTCAGCACAGCCCACGCTGTTGAGGGTGATGCCGTCGTAGTTGCGGTGGTTCTTGAAGGTCAGGACGCCGTGGTGGACGCAGGCTCGCTTGGCGCTCTTACTACAGCAGCTGAAGGGCACGTCGTCCTTGATGTACTCACCTCCCACGATGTACCTGGTGGTGTAGTGTGAGGGTGTCAGTGTGGTGTAAGGGTGTCAGTGTGGTGTAAATGTGAGGGTGTCAGTATGGTGTAGGTATAAGGGTGTCATGTAGTGTAGGTGTAAAAGTGTCAGTGTGGTTTTGTTGTAAGGGTGTCAGCTTAGCATGGATATAAGGGTGTCAGAATGGTGCAGGTGTAAGGGTATCAGTGGGGTGTGGATGTAAGGGTGTAAGGTTGGTGTAGGTGTAAGGCTGCCAGTGTTGATGTACAACATGTTGATTAAAACCTTAACCCTGACTAACTGTTTGACTAAAACCTTGACCCTGACTTACTGTTTGACCTCTGGGCTGTCAGTGTTGACTAAAACCTTGACCCTGATTTACTGTTTGAGCTCTGGACTGTCAGTGTTGACTAAAACCTTAACCCTGACTTACTGTTTGACTTGTCAGTGTTATGTCAACATGTTGACTAAAACCTTAACCCTAACTTACTGTTTGACTTGTCAGTGTTATGTCAACATGTTGACTAAAACCTTAACCCTGACTTACTGTTTGAGCTCTGGACTGTCAGTGTTGACTAAAACTTTAACCCTGACTTACTGTTTGACTTCTGGGCTGTCAGTGTTATGTCAATATGTTGACTAAAACCTTAACCCTGACTTACTGTTTGACTTGTCAGTGTTATGTCAACATGTTGACTAAAAACTTAACCCTAACTTACTGTTTGACTTGTCAGTGTTATGTCAACATGTTGACTAAAACCTTAACCCTGACTTACTGTTTGACCTCTGGGCTGTCAGTGTTGATGTACATCATGTTGACCCAGCCTATGGTGAACCAGTCCTTGTAGGATTTGATCCCGCAACACTCGTGTTCCAGCTGAAGGTTGTCTATCGTCTCTTTCCGCTCCAAGTCGCTCTTGTACGCCTGGGTGTGGGCAGTCAGCAAAGGGTTAAACAGAGAGTTTACATAGGTTTTAAAACAGAGAGCTTACACAGGGTTAAAACAGAGAGCTTACATAGGGTTAAAGCAGAGAGCTTACATAGGGTTAAAACAGAGAGCTTACATAGGGTTAAAACAGAGAGCTTACATAGGGCTAAAACAGAGCTTACATAGGGTTAAAACAGAGAGCTTACGTAGGGTTAAAACAGAGAGCTTACATAGGATTAAAATAGAGAGCTTACATAGGATTAAAATAGAGAGCTAACATAGGATTAAACAGAGCTTACATAGGGTTAAAACATAGCTTACACAGGGTTAAAACAGAGAGCTTACATAGGATTAAAATAGAGAGCTTACATAGGATTAAAATAGAGAGCTAACATAGGATTAAACAGAGCTTACATAGGGTTAAAACATAGCTTACACAGGGTTAAAACAGAGAGCTTACATAGGGTTAAAACAGAGAGCTTACATAGGGCTAAAACAGAGCTTACATAGGGTTAAAACAGAGAGCTTACGTAGGGTTAAAACAGAGAGCTTACATAGGATTAAAATAGAGAGCTAACATAGGATTAAAATAGAGAGCTAACATAGGATTAAACAGAGCTTACATAGGGTTAAAACATAGCTTACACAGGGTTAAAACAGAGAGCTTACATAGGGTTAAAACAGAGAGCTTACATAGGGCTAAAACAGAGCTTACATAGGGTTAAAACAGAGAGCTTACGTAGGGTTAAAACAGAGAGCTTACATAGGACTAAAACAAAGAGGGGTACACAACACAGAGCAGTAACTAAGTTGTTCTCAACGTGAACTGAGCGTGTAGTTAACAGGTTGAATAAACAACACTCGGTCTTTATCGTTCTGTAATTATGAACTTGAGCTGGAAACATATCTGTATCTAAGACTATAACAACCTCGTATTCTATTTCTACGACTATAGGGCTGGTAAGTAGGTCACCAACCAGTTCTATGGCTCATGCAGGTGTTATTGAGCCATAGAACTGGTTGGTGACCTACTTACCAGCCCTATTGTCAGCTGCAACAAGACCTTACTTTCATCGATATTCCGATCCCTTCTTCCAAAGACCGCTTGATCTTCCCAGAATGCACCAGTATGATGATGATGTCGATGAAGACGAACAAGGCCAGGACCATGACCACGAAGATGAGACCCAGAAACAGGTGGTGCTTCTCCGACCTGGTGTTGGCGTAGGTGGCGTCGTAGCAGAACTTGATGGCCACCAGGTGGCCGAAGAACATGAAGCCGCCGGTCAGCATCATGTAGAAGGGGAGGGCGCCGGCGTCGTACCCGTTCATCAGCTCCAGCTTCCGGTCCAGCTTGAACCTGTGGTCATGTGTGACGTCATTGGGTGAAGTATGCGGAAGTAGTCAGGTGTGTGACGTCATAGGGTGAAGGATGTGGTCAGGTGTGTGACGTCATAGGGTGAAGGATGTGGTCAGGTGTGTGACGTCATAGGGTGAAGTATGCGGATGTGGTCAGGTGTGTGACGTCATAGGGTGAAGTATGCGGATGTGGTCAGGTGTGTGACGTCATTGGGTGAAGTATGCGGATGTGGTCAGGTGTGTGACGTCATTGGGTGAAGTATGCAGATGTGGTCAGGTGTGTGACGTCATAGGGTTAAGGCTGTGGTCATGTGTGTGACGTCATAGGGTGAAGGATGTGGTCAGATGTGTGACGTCATTGGGGGAAGGATGTGGTCAGGTGTGTGACGTCATAAGGTGAAGTGTGCGGATGTGGTCAGGTGTGTGACGTCATTGGGTGAAATGTGAGGATGTGGTCAGGTGTGTGACGTCATAGGGTGAAATGTGCGGATGTGGTCAGGTGTGTGACGTCATTGGGTGAAATGTGCGGATGTGGTCAGGTGTGTGACGTCATTGGGTGAAATGTGCGGATGTGGTCAGGTGTGTGACGTCATTGGGTGAAATGTGCGGATGTGGTCAGGTGTGTGACGTCATTGGGTGAAATGTGAGGATGTGGTCAGGTGTGTGACGTCATAAGATGAAGTAGGTATTGGGTTACGTTTGGTGATTAGTATTGACTAGCTGCTTACGCTAGTTCGTCGAGATAGGAAAGCCGATTGTGATGCTTAAAAAAAAACTCGGGTTTAGGATTATGTTAATGCGGATTAGAGATAAAGCCAGAATGCGGGTTAATGCTAGGATTATACAACCCTTTACGTGTGGCCGATAGATGCATACAATGCTAGGGTTAATGAACCAAAATTAAGAAAGCGCTGTGCTGTAGATGGCTAATTAATACAGCATTGGGCTGTATATTGCACGTTAGGACAGCTTTAGACCGCCTCTGCTCATGTCCAATGAGAACATCACGTGACCATGACATGAGCGAAAGGAAACATCCCAGACAAAATCCATCAGGGAATGTCTATTAATCAAGGCCAGCTGGTGTATAAGTTCCATTAAAAAAGCTTCTAAACTTATTAGCGTGACTCCACAGCATTAACTCTGTTTGCAAGAGGCCATTTAGTACATTTCACAGGACATTAAACAAAGGGAGATAGTATTGACAAGAGCTCCAAGGGGAGGCAAGTGTGTTGATAAGGAAGGTAATCGATGGTTAAGGTAGCTTAAGGTTATCCTCGACACGCTTCGGCATACGGTAGCCAAACTCTACAAGGATAATCTTTTAATACTGGACAAACCCACATATTTGTGTAGCTAGTGCAGACACGGTATGCAGGATAATAGACCAACACCAATCATCCCGCGATCAAACGTGATCTTAACCTTGATCCTTGACTTAATTCCAGCCCAGGTCTTGATCATAATCCCCCAACATTACAATTTAGAACGACGAAGAAGAAGAAAGACGTTTGTTTGGTGCCAGCTACAAATACCAACCTGATGGCGATGGCGGCCACAAAGAGTGCCAGACTTAAAAACACCAGGATTATGTTGATGACCGTAGTGGACAGTCCCATCACCTTCCTCCCCCTCTCCCCCACGGTGAAAGTCACACACATCTTCCGGTCCCGCTACCCCGCCCCCTCGGCACAAGTCCTCATCTCTTCACATAGCACTTGTCCCATCTGTAAAGTCCTACCCCATGATCCAACCTCAGGACTTCCTTGAATACACGTCCTCACCCTATATTGGAAAAAAAATCCTAAATTACTACAGTGTCCTTCAATTGTGATTTAAACCTAAACAATGTTCATTATTCACAGCATAGACGACCAGACTATTCCTCAATGTGAACTAAACTACACCACAAGTAGATTGTTCTGATGATGTTGTATGTATGCATGTAGATTCTAATGGAGGCGACAATATTCGAAAGTATTCGAGGCTATTCACATCTCCGCCCATTTTGGGAATGCTGTTAGTTTAAAGTTTTTTTTATATCTATCACTTACAAATAAGCTGGAAACAAAACTTCACTCTAGAACTTTCACATCAGCCGCGTATAAAGATAAAAAAAATCTGGTAATGTTTCTAAACTTTTGGTTACAATGTTTGTATCAATACATAATAGATCTACTGCCGTGGAAAATTTACGCCGTATTTTTAAAAGCCGCCATCGCTGTTGTTAACGTATTAAAAACCAGAAATAATTCACGGCAAGAAACAAAACGCATATTTCATATAAAAAGTGGGAATCGGCTCTCCGAAACTTTTTCGTATATTAACTTCCTCGTATACGAAGTTAATAAGAACTATTAAAATCATACAAATAAATCTCGCTTAAAAATACATTTTTTTTAAAAAGAAAAAAGCTATTAATTATTTTAACACACCACAAAATATACAATCGACAAACTGGACTAAAAAGTAAAAAAAAAAGAAACAAATTTCGTTTGGTGTAGTTTATATAATGGGATATCTAAAAATAAAAGCCTAGGCGCTCAATGTTGAAAACTGACCATAGGTCTTATATTATAGAACGTTGGTGTACGTTTGGACTCGCTATGACAGGGAATATACTATCCAGAAGTGTGTGTGTGTGTGTGTTTGTGTGTGTGTGTGAGAGAGAGAGAGAGAGAGAGAGAGAAAGAGAGAGAGAGAGAGAGAGAGAGAGGGGGGGGGGGGGCAGACAGACAGAAAAACAGACAGTCACAGTGTCAAGATTGCAAAACTGAGGTTTCCGACACAGGAAGGCATAAAACGTCGAGATTTGTCAAAAATCGATTTCGATTTTCCGCAGGATGTCATTTGTTTTCTCTACACTCCGTATACGAGTAAGTAAAAATATTTGCTTTGTATGTGCACACATTAAAAGACCAATTTTCTTATTTACATACTGTATGAGTAATATTTTTTGACAGCTGAACGAACACTTGTCTGATGTGGAAGCAGATGTAACCGTACTGTGTCGGATTGTTTGATCAACATGGCTAGGTCACAGGTACTCACACGGCTCGTGATAATTACATCTCAATTAGCTGGATACCGATCTCTTCTTTAATTTCAATTGGTGTTTGTGTATAGATTTAATTAATGACGTTGTTGACATTCTCACTCAATAGCTGTGTTGACATACCAGTTAAAGGTTATATCTAGATTGTTTCACTTTATTTTTCTCCACAGAAAGAAAAATAAAATAATACACGGTGCTAGTATTGACATGTATAGTTTGGTTCAATAAAAAGTAGATATTGCAGATTAAAATAATTAATTGTTTTTTAAAACTGAATATAATTTAACTAAAATAATGAACAGAATGTTGTGACCTTTGTCCTATTGTTAAATGTAAACAAAACCCCGCCCTAATTTCACGTGAGGGTGTCGATAATTAATTACCCGACATGTTTTCATTTAGAAGTAATTTTCAGGATAAAAATATGTTTACATGGAAAAACGTCCTTTTGTTCGCCGAGCACGCAAGTAAACCCCGGCTTTATCCGGGATTATCCCTATCCCAGGGAGACACTAAACCCAGGCACTGGATTCTCGATGACCCAATTACACTTGGGATTTGTCCTGGCTTCCTGTTCTTCCGATTGGATGGGTGGGGCGGCTGGGATTGTGGGTAGGGGAGAGTTTGAGCTGTGACGTAGTGAAGAAACAAGGGCGGAGAACTGCAACGGTATCCGGTTTGATCGCTAGTGCCGGCGATCGTGGTGAGTCTTGTCCACGCTAGCGTGGGTGGTTGCGTGTGACGTAGTACAGGCAGGGGGTGGGAGGTGGGGGGAGGGGGGGGGATAAAACTGTTTCTGTAGTGGGGGTGGGTTGTGGGAGGCACTATGTAGTGAATCTCGAAATTTAATTATCTGGATTTCTTGGTTGAACAAACAGCTGTTTGGAAAAGCTCCCGTAAAGACTGGACAATACATACTTGAGAAAGTACTTAGTCGCTTGGAAACTGTTAAACTCAACTTCGTTTTCGTCAGTCGATTTGACAAATATAAAGTGATGTAGATCTATTTACAATCAGAACACAACTTTAATCAAATTGACATTTCTAAAGTCAACTTGATATCATCTCGTGAAATATGACATTTTTGCACTCAACTTGGTAGTTCTACAACCAATTTGATCTTATTTCAATTAACTTGACATTTGTATAGCCAACTTGATCTCATTTCAATCAACTTGACATTTGTATAGCCAACTTGATGACATTTCAACCAACTTCACATTTGTATAGCCAACTTGATGTCATTTCAACCAACTTCACATTTGTATAGCCAACTTGATGTCATTTCAATCAACTTCACATTTGTATAGCCAACTTGATGTCATTTCAATCAACTTGACATTTCTGCCCTCACTCACCTTGACCTTTCTGCACTCACGCAACTTGACACCATTAAATTCAACTTGACATCCCTGGAGTCTACTGGACAGGATGTAGACTGCCGGCAAAGGCGAAAATTGATGTTGAAAAGAACAAAGAAAGCTGAGAAAAGAAACTTTGCCTAACAAAACACCGCAACTATAAAAGGAGAAAGCTGAGAAAAACACAGGAAGTGTACTCCTCCGTGAGATGACAATCTAAATCTTTGTCGAGTCGGGTCCGGCGTGACTTGGGATGTTTTCAGTCGATTCCGTCAAGATATTTACTGCCCGCCTCTGTGACTTGAACGTGATAAATGTTTTAATTGACGTGGTCGAAGTTCTGGAAAGACCGTCACAAATTTCATAAAGATATTTTGTTGTGGGCCGATCAAAGAACTGTAGTACCGAACCTCATGTTCAGTTGATGAATTAGAATCATCTGTCTTTTTACAGTATCGATTCCGGCCGTGTTCTGCATCGGTATCGATATCAAGATGCTGTACAGGTAAGGATAAAAAGTTCATTAAAATTTTAATTATTATGGTGGAATTTTGTTTTTAAAAAAGTAATGAGAACGTCATAATTGCGTCGTTGATAATTGTAAATATGCGTTTTGGATTTTAAATATAAAGGAAAATATATCTTAGTTCGGGTTTTGATGAAAATATATTGAGATAAAAATGTATTAAGATGTTTTTGTGAGGCTGTTGTGGAGCCGTTTTTAATGATCACAATCATCTGTAGTGCTGGTGTAATTTAGTAGTCAACTAACTATTCAAAAAGAAGAGTTGACCCATGACATTAAAGTGTGGTCAAGCGAACTTCTCGCTCCCCGCCTGAAGTCAGGTTACGACTTTAGTTGATTCAGTGGCAAGGGATCTCTACCAGCCCCAGACTAAGAACCGAACAAGAGTGCCAGGCTAACAATGGGGATCTCTAACACTTGACCACAAGGGCATTATATTGTTGAGCACAAACCAGATCTACTTATGGCGTCACTAATTGCTAGGTACATATTTAAGCTGAGTATGCTCAGTATTCCCAGTCTAGGACATTAAAATAGTTTACAATGGTTCCACTTTTTAGGAAAACAGGGCATTACCCTCCGGACATCCCCCCCGACACTACCCCTCGTAATATTTACCACCCTGTCAATTACCCACCACCCAGTAGGACATTACACCCCCCGACACAGCTTTAGGTACAGCTAGGGTTAAGGTTAAAGTTAGGGTTAGGGCTAGGGTCAGGATCAGGGTCAGGGTTAGAGCTATGGCTATGGCTATGGCTATGGTTTAGGTTTAGGTTTAAGTTTAGGTTTAGGTTTAGGTTTAGGTTTACGTTTACGTTTACGTTTACGTTTACGTTTACGTTTACGTTTACGTTTACGTTTACGTTTACGTTTACGTTTACGTTTAGGGTTAGGGTTAGGGTTAGGGTTAGGGTTAGGGTTAAGGTTAAGGTTAGGGTTAGGGTTAGGGTTAGGGTTAGGGTTAGGGTTAGGGTTAGGGTTAGGGTTAGGGTTAGGGTTAGGGTTAGGGTTAGGGTTAGGGTTAGGGTTAGGGTTAGGATTAGGGTTAGGGTTAGGTTTAGGGTTAGGGTCAGGGCTAGATTTAGGGTTGGATTAGGGTTAGTGCTATGGTTAGGGTTAGGGTTATGGTCAGGGCTAGGGTTAGGTTTAGTGTTATGGTATTATGGTTAGGCTTAAACCAATGTCTAGAGTAGGTTTTGGTTTTGCATTAAATTTTAGACTGAGGTGAATGCTTAGGTTTTAGTATTTTTCTTAAGGTTAGGATTAATATATAGGTATAGAATTTGAGTTAGAGTTAGGATTCTAGCCTGAGGAGGTGTAATTCCCTCGGGGGTGGGGGTATTGGACAGGAGGGGTAATTGACAGGGGGGTAATTATTTCGGGGGGGGGGGGGGGTAATAGACGGGGGGTATTGTCCCTTAGTCAGTTTTTACATGGTCTTCTCGTTATATGGGGCGAAACTGAATGACATGTTGAACATCAGATGACATGAACAAACTGATGACATTTGTTTAACATGATATTCTGGCTTTATATTTGAATACAGCTATAGAGCTTAAAATTTTATGTTAGTCAATGTTTGTCATACATGATGGTTGTTGTTTGTGATGTTCGTCATACGCAATGTTTTTTTTAAGGGATTTCATAAGGGATGTTTGTTATTTGCGATGTTTATTTTTGTGTAATGTTTGATTTATTGAATTTAGCAAAAATAAATTAGATGCCTTTTACCCACACATTAAATTGGTTTCTATCGATTATTTATACCTTTTTAATATAAAAAAAAACCCTGTTATTTTAAAATACAACTTCAAGTGTTTTTTTTAAATGTCAAATTACAAAACCCACTCAAACCATTTGCAATTTCGAGCATTTAAAAGTTTTAGCAGCAATTTAAAAATTTAATTTACACTAAGTCGAAAAACCCCTGTAGCGTTTGACGTCATTTCTGTTTTCCTTAATCTAATATTAGGGTAGTCTTGTAACTACACTTTCGATGTGAATTGTTGTCACTCGATTTTACAGATAAGTGATGCAGTCACAAATATAAAGTGTATCACAAAATAGTAAGACAACAGGTAGCCAAACCACCAAATATATCACAAAACTGTCATGAAATAGGCAGTCACAAATCTATATCTATAATTCTCTACGTGTGGACTATACGGGACACCAACACCACGTAAGCGCGCCTAGCAGCCCCCTCCCTTCCTCTCTAAGCATATCGCTACCACCCCCACCCCCACCTGTCTAGTGAGCTGTGGTTCACGC